AGTCTCCTCAAAAGGAAAAAACAGTAGAACAATCAAAAATGTGAAGATCAAGAAGGCGCGGTGAACTCATCATTCTGCGACGATGGAACAGAGATCGTTCTCCAAAAATTTCAAAAAAAGGGGTTTCTTGCTTCGTTTAAGGCACGGTCCGCGATAAATTGAGGCTTAAACCTCGCCAACGTGCACGATGACCGAGTAGGCACCGCAGGGTCAGTTTCATCAGGATTGAAATCGTCTCGAAACCGCCCTATCTTTTCTCTTTCCAATAAGCTTTACAGTTTTTCTGAAGACCCACTAGTTCAGGAGATATTCACAGACGCGCTACCCTCTGACCCACCCGAAAAATCGACTCCTTCTGTGCCATTGTGAGGATACACCTTCGAAAACTCCAAAACACATATTTCCCTTCAAATGAGTGAAAGAGGAGCTCGGCTATCACTGATCGATTTGGTCCGAGTGTGCGCCGTGCATTACGCTCCTACGCAGAGGTGGTGGAAAGGTGTAAATTCTGATTTCAGGTGCTTTTATCCATGCAAGCAGATGTTTGTTTAGGGTTTGGAAAGGACAATACGCACGAATCTGTTAGTATTATTTAGTCATCTACGTACTTACGAGTTCATGCTATTAATTGATATTTATTTATTTATTTATTCTTGCTATTCTTGCTATATTGCTAACCAATTTTTTTTTTTTTTGTAGTCCTCCTTACATCCGGGTCTTCTGCAGCTTTCCGTCCGTTCCATCAAACTTAGCAATGACACTTTTGTACTGTTTGATGCCTAGCGAGCCTACTTTTGCGATACTCCCCACGTCCCCCGCGGCCAAGTACGAACCCATTTTTGGGGATTTCGCATGAAAAGAGGGCTGTTAAACGTAGCAGTTAAATCTGTAAAGAATACACTCATAATAATTTTCATTTTTTTACATCTTGACTTCCATAGCTCCACTCCCACTATCAACTGAAATGTCGAAGCATTGCCCGGCTCTGAGTGACCCTTGAGATTACGACCCCCCCTCCCCAGCGGCCAAGTACGACCCCCCTATGGGTTTCGCACAACGATGCTGTACCCTGTTTGCAATCCACAATTAATCTTGACCATCTTACGCTCGTCGGGTGACCACGATCAGTTGCCATAAAGAAGGTATTATGCGGGCAACCTTCCGAGCTTTAGTCAACAAACACATGGCAATTCTTTTTTGAACTGTATTACAAATGAAGTGCGATTGCGGGAATTGCCTTGAAGTTTGTTGCTGACTTGTCAGTTCGCATTCGCTTTTACACGTTCTCCCACGGAGCCTTTCTCGAAGACTTTTTGTAGGGTTTTTGTGAGACAAGCAGGTAGAATTATTACCACGCAAAGCGGTGTGGTATGAACGTATTAGGTTGTCCGGAAAGTTCTCAGCGTTTTGAGTGTTTCACTTTAAACGATCATAACTTTCTTAATACTCATCGGATTTAATCGAAATAAGCACCGTTCGAATCAGCACACTTTTGCCAATGTGACACCAGTCGAGAAATCCCATCAAAGGAAAAAACTGGGTGGTCGAGAATCTAAGGCTTTTTTGCCTGGTCCTAATTGATGAAGTATTTTCCAGCAAGGAAGTTCTGAAAATGTTTGAAAAGGTGATAGTCGGTTGGTGAAAGGTCTGGAGAATATGGCGGGTGAGGTAGAACTTCCCCCAATTCGTTCAATTTATGGATAGTGATTTGTGAAACGTGTGGGCGGGCGTTGTCATGCAAAAGAATCGGACCCTTTCTGTTGACAAGTGCTGGCTGCAGCTGACGCAATTTTCGGTACATTTCGTCGATTTCTTCACAGTAGGACTCTGCTGTGATGGTTTGGCCTGGTGACAAAAAGTTATAGTGGATCACACCAGCCGATGACCACCACACTGTGACCATAACCTTTTTGTCGTGAGGATTCGGCTTTGGAAATTGCCTCAGGGGTCCGCCGGCATCCAACCACTGTCCGAAACGTCTCCTGTTATCATACATGATCTCCTTTTCATCACACGTGACAATTCGGTCCAAAAACGGGTCGTTTCTGTTGCGCAAAAGCAGTGAAGAAGAAACCTCGAGACGTGCCAATTTCTGCCGGTCACTCAAATTGTGGGGCACCCACTTGTCGAGTTTTTTCACCTTCCCAATGCGTTTCAGACCATCCGCAACAGTGGATTTGCCAACGCCTAGCTTTTCTGCAATCTCTCGAACTGTTTGGGATGGGTCAGCCTCCAAAAAAATCCTCGTCAGGTATTGCTTTAGGTCGACCGCTACGAGGTTCATCTTCAAGGCTGAAATCTCCAGAACGAAATTTGTCGAACCATTGTCGCACGGTGCTTTCTCCAACACTATTGGGCCCCCACACCTGGTTAATTTGTCGAGCTGTCTCGACTGCGGATTGACCCAATTTGTAGTTGAAGAAATATCGTCCGAAGTGCTCTTTTGACATGCTTGAAAAAATCTTGAAAAAAGGGGTTTATCAAGCAATGGTGAAACGGCAATTATACCATCAGATAGCGCAATTCTCTTCAGGATGTACTACTGAGACGCAAGGGAGAATGAGTTTTTAATCAGCAATGAATGTACAAAAAATAGTAACACAAAACGCTGAGAACTTTCCGGACAACCTAATATATAGGGCACGAAATACAACCGTTTTCGGGTATAACCTCTTCTAGAATCGGTTTTCTTCAGAATGCTTCATGCAACTATGAGGTTTCACCCTTGATAGCTGGTCCTTTTCAGTATTTTACTATATATAATCCGCTAAGTGTGTCTGTGTGTGTGTCACGAAATTCATAACACCTGTCCCAGTGGCAGAGAAACGTTGATTCCAGGAAGTGATGGAGGGGGTGTGACGGGAACACCATTGGTGGGTGACAGGATGTGATATCAGTTGATAAGATTCGATAAGAGGCGTCCAAAGGGGATGGTCACCCAGTCCATAGTGCGGGCCACAGCAGCAGTGGGACGTTGGTTCCGAGCAGTGAAATAGGGGTGGGACGAAAACATTATTGGTAGGTGACAGGATGTGATATCAGCTGATAAGATCTGATAATGGGCATTAGAAGGGAAGGACTACCAAATTCATAGTGCGGCTCACAGGAACAGTGGGTCCTTGGATCCGAGAGGTGATATAGGGTGTGGGACGGGAACATTATTGGCGGGTGACAGAAAGTGATAACAGTTGATAAGATACGATAAGCGGCCTCGGAAGGGGAGGGTCATCAAATTCGTAACGCAGGTTACAGCAACAGTGGGACCTCTGATTTGAGAGGCGATATTGGACGCTTTTAGGAGGACAAAATGCATAAGGTATAAGCTGCTCAGCGGTTATCCTAACAGGCTGCACTATTCCCGTGTAGGTTATGAACGTACCAGTCGGATCGCTGGCTAAGGCCGGCTCTCCTCCTTCTGTGATGCGGGGGGGGGGGGGGGGGGGGGGGGAGGGGGGGCGCTGCTGCTGCTTCTGCGTCTTGACGGAACGAAGCGCTGCTTTTCAGTTCTTGGCTGATGCAGAAGATTCCTTTGAACAGTGTGGTTGGTCAACGATCCTTAACTTAGCACGCGGCAAATCCGCATGGCCCGGCGAAGCCGGGCCATGTCACAGAAGGAGGAGCGCCCGGCGACAGCTGGGCGATCCGACTGGTAATAATGGAATTGAGGCAACGACCATTAGGGGAATATACAGCCCGCTCGAAACAACAAGCACCAAGGAGCAAAGAAGGAGCTTCTTAGTAACTAGCTGTGGTTCACTCCAGCCTCTCGTCGAAATTCTCCAACGAACGTTTAACCCCTCCCCCCTCCCTACAACCTTAATGGCCGCATCCTTGGCACGCATGAAGCGGCAAAGATTACTGGTGTCTAACGACTACGCACGACTCCCTATGAAGATCCTGCAACGATGACGTTTACAAGTTTCAATAAAATCACGCCCTGACATGAAGCCTATCTGCTCTTTGTCAAGCCGTTGTCGTTTCTGTAAACGATAGGCATTGTATATAAAAAGTATAGCATAGTATAGTATAGTGTACATAGTATAAGTAGTGAAAAAGGTTGCCTGAGCAGCGAACAGAATTCTGCTATCATGTTCAAGCCTCAAAAAACCCAATTTGAAACTGTAATTTGTGCTACCACAAGAATGCTGAGTTATGGGCAAAAGTCGAACTACAGGCAGGAGTTGAACTCGCACCTCACGCTTTCCAGGCGAGTACGTGTAAAACGCTTTCAAGAAAAACCTTGTCATGTAAACTTTGAATCGGAACTTGGAACTGTCTTATCTTAGCCATGCTGTACGTAGACATCAATCATTTATTTCTCTCCGCATATACTCTGAAAAATGTGCTTCTGAAGGAATGGAGCTCCTCTCCATTGCTACAAAAATTTCATTCTGCGGAAGGGGCGATATTCCAGAGTAGGCTGACGAATAAGCAGAAGAAATATTACCATTTCATTTGTGAACTTGTGGTCAGTTGACTAACCTTCCCTTTCTGTCTAGTAAAGACAAGGACTCTATTAATCCAGTGCAGCATTCATAAAACCTAAAAGTGTACTGTTGTGCCTATAGAAATCCCCGCCGTTCTCTTGTTTAACAAACTGTCTCGCCAATCAACAACGATCAGGGTCAGACACTTTGCCAGCAATGAAACAGGCAGGTGGGGAAAAAATTGAACGAGTTTCTCAGTGCCTTTTTTGAGCTCTCCACTGCTGAACTTCAGTATGGCCGTAGTTGTTTTAAATGGCTGAAAGGAAAAAGACATAGTGAGAAAGGCGACAAAAGCAAGTTTCGCTATTAAGCTTCTTCTGTGGTGTATTGAAACACACCCAATACGATGAACTCACACGAAGCTTGCCTAGCACGTCAACCGTCATCGTTCTGGCAATACACAACTTTTTCTACCAGGCACGGCGTACATCGTTATGACTGAAACGGTGCCTCTCTTGGTTACGCCTCTCACATTATAAAAGCTCGACACAAGCCATAATCAAGCGAACGACAATGGGCGACGACGACAAATGCAGCAAGGCGACGTTGGCTGCGAGTCAGAAGCAGTTCGCCTTCATCGGCATTGCTGTGTCGACGATCGCCACTTTAACCGCAATCGTCGCGGTACCCATGCTCTGCATGCACATGCACACTGTTAATTCGGGTATTCAAGAAGAACTCGCCTTCTGTCGGTCAAAGACCACCGGATTACAAGCTGAATTCACCAAGGTATGCTGGTTTCAGAAGCAGTTTTTCGAATTGCTCGAATGCTCAGCAGCTCAGTTAAAGATAAGCTATTTATTTACTAAGCTGCTTAGTAAATAATTAATTTTTCACTCATTAAGGTTTGTCCTTGTGGAAATTGGCTATTGAAAATCCACCTCTTCAAAAAGGAATCCCTTGTTGACAAAGCCCTCGATCGGAGTTAAAGAATGCTGTCCCAACTGCTCTGGATCCCTACAGCAATCCTATAGTTTCGCAATCCCTACAGCAAAATGATGACAGCAACATCCAGGCTTTTCCACTTCACTGTCCTCGCCATCAGGAATATTTACAGTCTAAATTCGCGCTCATCACTGAGATAGCACGAGGGTGGTAGAAACAGGGGCACAGTGTGAGCCAAGAAGCTCAATATCCCTAGCGTATACAGGTGGAAAGGATGGGTGTTGTCGATATCGCCTAAAGCTGTTGAAGCCGCGAAGGGACCATAAGATTCTGATCAACAACTAACATCATTTAAAGCTAACTTTCAGCTGTCCAAAACGGATATGTTTTTTTTCAGTTGGAAGGTTTCCGCAGTCAAGCACTACGTGCCAAACGTCAATATCCTGATCTATGTTGCTCCTGCGGCATTGGCGAAAATGGACCTGTCGGACCACCCGGTGAAGACGGAGAACCAGGGGAAGATGGTCATCCTGGAAACCCTGGTGCTCCAGGTGCAGACGCGCCAAAGCACAATGCGATACCAAAACGAGAAGACTACTGTTTCGAATGCATGCCCTCCGCAGCAGGACCTCCTGGTGTCCCTGGGCCAATGGGACCTCCTGGACCGCAAGGCAGCGTTGGAGAGGTAATAGTACATCAATATAATCTGGTATTATGCTCGTATTTGAATTTAATCGTTCAGACTGGACCTCCTGGACCGCCAGGTCATCAAGGACCACCGGGACCGCGTGGTCCTCCTGGAAAGGATGGTGAAGAAGGTGAGGCAGGCGCACCCGGACAACCTGGATCAGTTCGTACTTTACCGTCACCTCAGGGAGAGCCAGGGGAGATGGGTGAGATGGGACCGCCAGGTCCCCCAGGTTCAGATGGTCGCCCTGGAATGAACGGACGACCAGGACAGCCAGGAGAGCAAGGCGAACCCGGTATGGATGCTCCAAATGGAAAAGACGGTGAGCCTGGTCCGCGCGGTCCTCCCGGACAAGATGGTTTGAAAGGTTCTTGCGATCACTGTGCTCCTCCCCGCACTCCTCCTGGCTACTAATCAGTAAGCAAACGCGAAGCAAGCAATTATCAACCTTCGGATCCTCATTCTTCTCAGCGGATACATAGACATTGTGTTGAGAGGGTTTTCTTGTTACACGCCTAAAGAAGTGTCATTTGTCGATTCTCGACTGTTTCTCAATGAGTGCTGCTGCAGTTGTTGTTTTCGAGAGTGAAAGTGTTCAAATAAATGTTCATAAGTAAGTTATGAAGTTTTTGTAGTGCACTTACCAGTTCATGAATGGTCCTATCCGTTGGTGTATGTTCCAGTCAATAATGACTATGAATGTTCATTCACTTGCTGCCGGTCCACTTGTCATTCGCCGCTGCATTCTCGCTAATCTATCCTAACATGTCCGAATGTTGCCTAAAACTTTGAAAAAAAAGGCATACTTCTTTATGAGTAGAGCTTGACTTATTTCTGCGATTTCGAACACGAAGTGTCTTTCACTCTCTCGGTATTAACAGTGTAGTATGGAAGTCTTTTTCAACAAAGTCAAAAAGCTTCATTGATAATAGAGAGACTACTGAAACAAGCTGCGATGGAAGCTGGAGTGCGGAATTCGCCAAAGAATTTCTTGGTTTCCAAATTAACATAAATCGTCTGTTATTTCTGTAATGCTTCTATAGATACACTTCAGTTTATTACATGACTGAGCATGTAAGTCGCCAACGGGGGCGACGTTAAAACAACAACTACAACCAAAACAAAAAAAATAAATAAATAAAAAGGAACAACGGTATGGCGAACAACTGAAGATGGTTTGCACAAATGATGGGAATGCATGATAGCTGAGATAAGTGAATGACACTTAGATTGAACTGGGTCTAGAACGAGCGCGGGGAAACAGCTACATCGTCAATTAAGTATGCGCTTAAGATAAGACTTAAGCATACTGGGTGAGATTGGGAGCGTTTACGTTTGTCTAAGCGAATGTAAATAGGCCCAGCTCTATTAACGAAGAAATGACGTCTAGGTCCGCTGCGAGCTGCCGCAAAATTTAATTTCATCATACTTCCCCTGGTATTAGACGGCGTTAGTTGGAAAAAATCGCTGCACCGAACCTTTACTTGACCGTTGCGGATTTTGTTGATCATTACGATGTCGTTGACTTTCCTCCTTAGTGAAAGAGTTTTCAAGCCGAGAAGCTTGTTACGAGAAGACGAGTCTGGCACTGCTAAGTAGGAAAAGCCAAGACAACGAAGAAATAGCTTGCGCGTAAAGCTGTTCTGAACTGCCTCAAGTCTTTTAATGGAGAGACGCTTAGACGGATTGAACACAGTAGTTCCGTACTCCAAAATAGGCCTAACATAAGTTTTGTAAGCGGCAGCAGCGTGTGGGGATTAGTGGAGGAAAGGGCTTTGAACAGATTATAAAGTCTACGCTGACCAGCATTTGCAACAATATCACAATGTTTAGAGAAATCAAGTTTTTCATTGACATGAAGCCGAGGTCTACCGTTGCTGATACTGGCTGGAGCTGGACACCATTTAGGCTATATTGAAACCGTCCATTATTAGAACCAATGTGCAACACTTTAGTCTTCTCCGGGCATAGAGGGAGCCTCCAATCCTCAGACCAATTGTACATGGCATTGATTGCCTGGCTAATTCTGGAAACCCCAACATCATCGTCAACCTCAGCGTATATTTTTATGTCGTCTGCAAAAGCCTTACATTTAACCCCGGTCTCCGACATAATTACTGGAACCTCATATGTATATACCAGTCGGATCGCACGGCTCACGCCGTGCTCTCCTCCTTCTCTTGAGCTCGGCTTCGCCGAGCTGGCCTGGCTTCGCCAGGCGGCTCCATAATTTTAACGGAACTTTTTCGGTAGTGCGCTGCTCATAAGGCGCTGTAGTGATCGAATCGTAACAGACAGAGCAAGGCTTAGGATCCCGCACAACTCAGCACGCGCTTCTATTTACAGCAGCGGTGTAGTCCGCGCCATGACGCCCATAGAATACATAAATCTGTAGATAGATACAATGTGTAGTCGGCCAATACAGCGAC